CTTGTCTTGCTTCACCTCCGATGCGGGAGCCTCAGCCGCGCACCCCGCCACAGCTTCTGCTACCCTTCCCGAGCTGCTACATCCGCATCACGGGTCAGTGTAGCAAGTTCCCCTCCATGGCGCACCGCGACTGGTTCGACGACCTCGGCTTCGGAGGCCCCAACTGCTCTGTTCTCTCGCCGCAGCGGGCGGCGCTGCGATGCAAGCAGCGTGCGACGTCGTGGCGGATCGACTGCGACCGGGGAAGCACGGGCGTAAACACGGACGTCGACTGGTTCTTCGGCCCGCGCGCCCTATTGCCTGAGCTTGAGGGCAACCTCACGCGGTGGTGCGTTCTGCTTCTGGGAGTACACACGCTCGCACACACCACGCAAACCGCCCGCTCGCCGCAGAGGTGTGAAGTCACGCTGGCAACGCTCTCTGCCGGCTGTGACAGATCTTGTCGCTCGGCGCCTGTCTAACCGACAAGCCATGCCGTAGGCTCGCTTGCTGGTGGCTCCGGCAAACCTACGCACGCACCATCCTCCCCACCACAGTGGTCAACAAGCGGGCCGTGCGCGAGCGGATGCGCCGGGCGGGCGCCGCGCTCGATGCGTCCTCATGCGTGGGGCTGCGCCGCAACCTAATTGAGAACGTCGTCGCGGCCATGGAGAGGGACTCGTGGACCCTCGCGCAAAGGACGTTGCTCCGCGCAGGTATCCGTGTGCAGAGCGACTGGTCGAGATATTGCTCGAAATCCCGAGATATGACCGCAGTCTGGCCTAGATGTATGCTAGAACACCCGGACAGTGGCTAAGACCTGGCTGAGATCTAGCGAGCTGGGACGCTCGAGGGTATCGACTGCGGCACCTTCGCCATCCACCCACCCGACAGGCAACTGCGACGTCGAGCCGACGCACGGCTGGGTGCAGCGCACGTGCACATCAGCGGCCGCGGCGCAGCCCGGTGGCGGGCTGGGGGGGCTTGCGCCGCCACAGCGCACGCCTTACTGGACTGCGCCGCGCGAGTCGCCGGCACTCAGCGAGCCGGTAGAGGCCTTGCCGACGGAGGGGGCGTGGCTGTTGCTGAGATGACCCGAGTTTGACCGAGATTGAGGTTGGGATAGGCTTTGCAGACGGAAGAGGCGCGGCTGCTGCTTCGGCGGACGCTCATTTCATACGCCTACTATTCCCCGCCGCCGAAGCGGCACGGCCCCGCCGCTTCTGAGGAGCGGCAGTCGACGTACCGGCAGTGTCAGAGCAACCTGCAGGCCTTTCTGCGCTGGGGCCTGCCAATGCCTGCCGAGTCGGGGGCGCGCGCCCTCATGCCTCGCGTCGTCCTCTCCGTGATCGGAGACACGCCAATCCCTGAACTCGCCGGACGGCACAAGTGGGTTTCTGTGAAGCGGCGCAGCCTCACGGTCGCAGATCTGCCGGTGCACGCGCGCACGGTGCGCGACGATCTGCGCGATCTCTCCACCCAGCTGTTCTTAGGAGGTCCGAGGGTCTGAATGGTCCGAGAGCAGGTGCGCGACGAGCTGCGAACGGGCAGCAACGCGACCGACTTCTTTGTCTTTCTCAACTGTGGCGTTCGAGGCCCGTACCTCGCAGCCCGCCCCGGCTCGGCGACTGCGACGAGGCTGGGCGCTTCCGCCTGGCTGCACCCGTTCATCAGCAGGCTGCAAGACGGCGTGCTGCTGAGCGGCCCCTCAATCTCGTGTGAGATTGGGCCGCACCTCCAATCATACTTCCTCGCCGCCACGCGGCGCGCCTCTCCCCCACCCACCCGCCCCTTTCCAGCCACTCGCACCATTGCCCGCCGTCTTTTCGCCGCACCTGTGCCTGTACCTGTCGCCCCGCCTCCCTCGGCCAGGCGCGCTGTCGAGGCGTTTGTGCTGCCCCGGTGGGAGAGTGGGCCGCGCGCCGGATACTTGGACATCGTGCGGACCGGCGAGATTGGACTGAGCCGCGCCATCCTCGCCGCGGGCTACCGCATTGCCGCGCTCGAGCGTTGGTCGGACGACTTCAAGCCGGCTGCGTGCGAGCGGCGCTGCCAGCTCAATCCGACGCTGTTCATGCAGGCCCACCCATAGACAGTCGAAACAGTGGGCACGGACCAATCCTCAGCCGCGGGCGCCGGCGCTAATGCCGTCCCTGATGCCGATGCAGGACCCGTTCGAGCTGATCTTCATCAAGTTTGGCGGCGGCACCCTGCGCACGCAGGACGCCTGCAAGGCGACCTTCCTCGCCGAGGCAGATGCGGTGGCGGACGGCGGCTTCGCCCGGGATCGGTGGGCCGAGGCAGGGCTGGCGGCTTGCTGCGCCGTCCGGCGGACGTCGGCCGTGACACAGTTTGACGAGAGCGACAGCGCCGACGAGGTGACCGCCGCGGCCGCGCGTATGATGCTTGCGGACCGGGAGGCGGAGAGCCACGCGCGCAGCCCGTGGAGTCAGATCAGCGAGCGGCTGCAGAGCACCCTCTTCTCACCAAACTACCTACAGCCGGTGCCGAGCAACTTGCGCCGGCGGGTGCTCATCAGCTACGTGTACCGCGACCTACCCAACGAGGCGGAGCGCCTCGAGCGTTTCCTCACCGACGGCCTGCGCGACGCGGAGCCCGATGGCACACGCCTGCTCTTCGCGCTCGTCGTCAACGGCTGGCTCTGCGGCGCTGAGCTCAAGCCGTACCCAGGCCGCCCCTTCCTCGCCCTGTTCCGAGGCGACCGGTGGGGGGTGTCCCGCGGCCACGGCACGTCGCTGCGCAAGCGGGGCACGAGTGCTGGAAATACTCGAGATTGCCGGGGTTGCCCGAGATGTAGGCGCCCTCCTGCATAAGCTGGGCATGAGCGCCGAGTGGCCAGCGACGCGGCTTGACATGACGCACTTCATCCTGCTCGCGGGCGCGACTCCCTTTGCCCCGCGGTGATACCGTCTCGTCACACGTCCTAGCCGTAATAGGCGCCCGCGGCCCCTTTTTGCCGCAGTGGACACCGGCGGGGTGGCACTGGAGCCAGGCCTTCACCGACCGGCTGGGGACCTATGTGCCCGGCTCGGGCCGCGCCGTACGCCTCGTGGGCACCACCATCCGGTGCGCGTTACCGACCGCCGACTTGTGCGCAGCGAGCGGCGTCGAGGCCGGCAACGGCTGCACAGGACCAACATTGAGGGGCGAGGTGCTCGCGACCGATGCGCTGGGCTTTGAGGTGCTGCGCCGGGCGGAGCTCTTCGACGGCGCCGCGGACGACGGAGACTCCGAAGGAGAGGAGCTCGTCTCGCGCAGCATGCTTGGTGCGGGCTTCAACCTCGCCTCGCTGCAGGTCGCGCAGCGCAACGTAGACTGGAGCGACCCGAGGAGTTGGCGGTGCCCGCAGACCGCTAGTCCAGCGCATGCGGAGAGGCAACAGAGTCCCTTCGAGACGATTTTCGATGATGGCAGCCCTTGACGACGCCACCCCTGCCGCTAGCACTTTCACGGTAGAAAAAACGGTTCGGCAGTGTCAAAGTCTCTCTCTTTTCGCGGGATCCCCGGGCCCGGCGATGGAAGCGGTCCGTTTTCTTTTTGCTACCTGTGTCGGGAGCCGGACCTTAAGAGAGGGAGACCTAAAGTGGAGAGCGTTTTCTTTTCTCGGAGAGACGCTGATGTTAAGAATTATGACCGCGCAAGATATAAAGGGTGGCTAAGGGCTCTGCCCGCAAGGCGCCCGCGTCGCAGACGCGGTACCATTGACAAATCTGCAATATACCCCCACACGAACAAATAGCAAAATCCGAATACCGTGCACGAACTGCGTGATCTGGGACGCAAGCCTTCAGCTGGTGCCAAGACATCGTAAATTGAAGCCAAGAACCGCCGCCAAATCCGTGCTTTCGGAGCAACTGAGGGAAAGCCGCTGATCGAGCCCAGCGTGCCCGCGGCCGCCTCCCGCGCAGCACCGCCGCTGAGGACGACACGCTGCGGAATCGGATCGAGCCCATGGAGGAGAAGGGTGCAGTCGGCGAATCGGAGGAGGAGGAGGAGGGCGCAGTCGTCGACGTTGGCGTGTCTGACTCAGAGGAGGAGTTGGAGGTGCTCCAGCAACCTAACCTGATCCAGAAGCTCGCCGACGTTGTCAGGTTACGTGCGTCATGCGTGATCGAGCTTGAGGGAGGAGCTCAGCTAACGATTCGGCCGGCCACCCAGCGCCGCCGCCCACCGCCACCCACAAAGCGCCTGCTCTACTATCACCTGGCTGGCTGACGCTCGCCCCCCCCCGCTCCACTTTCCCCTGACCATGCCCGTGATAGCACCATCACTGTCGCCGTCCTGGTTTTGAACGTGGCAGCTAGGCTCTAGGGACTCGGTAGTCGTGACCGCCCCCTGAGTGTGAGGAGCAGGAGAGAGAGAGCTTTGTGGTGTTGGTGTACGCAATAACGGGACAGGGTGGTTGTTCTCTCCATCTCCCCTTCTAGCTCTTAGCATGAGCTGCGCCCTGTGTCCGACCCCTTTTGCGCAGCAACACCTTAAACTTTCAGGCCCTCCAAATTCGGGTCGGAGCGTAGCGGAGTGGGCCCCGAGTTTGAAAAAGGGCGACGGACGCTTGCGTCCTAGCCTCCAACAACGCCTCCCCGGCGCAGAGGGGCCCCCGGAGGGATGCACAACCGCTCCACGCCACGCCGCTTGCGGCGGTCCTCTTCCCAGCTCCGCTGAGGGCCACACGTTATTTTCTCCCGTGGTGTACCTGTGTTGGCCAGTGCGTCACCAGTCCCGTGCCTAGTGTCGTGCGACAGGCTCCAGGTGTCGATCGGGAAAGAGGAGGACGCGAGTGAGACGACGAAGCAGCATTTCGCTTCGCCGCCAACGCCAACGACGCACCTCGTAGCGCTGCATAATCCAGTCTCCTAGCTTCGTCATTTGCTCGTCCCTGCTGTCTGCCGTGTGCACCTCTCGCTGCAGAGACCACCTCTCACAACCGTCGGCCTCGTAGCAGCTCACCTGCTGCCTTTGGGCCAGTGAAGAGGCGTCCGAAGAAGAGGGCTGCGACAATGTCGAAATTCCTCCTTTCGATGCTCGAGAGCCGCGCCTTTTGGTGGGACATCATACGCTACAACAAGGGACGCTTCACCGTGCTGGTCCTGATCCTCGGAGAGACTGGATACAACAAGGCTCGCGGCGGGCAGCAGCCAGATCCAGCGGCCACGGCGGCAAAGCGGACGCCGCAGATTTACATCACCGCGCCGCAGCCGGAGACGGCTGCCTCTCTGGGCGAGATTGCTCGGAGAAAGCGCGCCGCGTCGAGAGCCGTCTCTGACCCGCTCTCGCAGTACAGCCACGCGATGCTGGCCTCGTACCGCGGCTCGGGGTGTGGCGGCGGCGACGACAGGCCTCGGTCGGAGCGTGCTTGAGGGCCGCGTGTATTCTCGTCATTCTCGCTACGGCTTTGGCATGTGAGATGTGTGTATGACATGGTATAACGCGTAAGTATGTTCTATGTAATGGCTAAAAAATGCACAGCCGCAATACGGTGTAGAGTATGCACATCACTGTAACCCGCAGTCTGTACCTGCGCCGCAGTGCGGCGGCGGCCCTGCAGTCGAGCGCGCGAGATCCGAGAGAGCGCCCGCCGCCGCCCCGCGCCCCGCAGAACAGACACCACTCTCCCTCGACTCTCCATGCAAAAATCTCGTTCTCGAGCGACGCTCGCCACACCGCACTGTCGTGGCCAGGTCGTGGCGAGGGAGCGCGTGCCCTGAGGCATCCGAGCGCGGGTTCGACTCTAGGAGGAGCTGAAGCCGTTCGGGTTGGCGCTGATCCACCGCCACGTGTCGGAGCACATCTCCTCGAGGCCGAGCTCCGCCTGCGGGAGAGTGATCAGCCGAGATCGAGCCGAGATCCATCTGCCACCCCGATCTCGGCAACCTCTCGGCCACATCTCGGCCGGAGATCCGCCTTCCACCCCAGCTCAGCCGCCGCGAGGGACGCGTCCGAGTACACGACCGCGACGTCGCCCGGCCTGCGCGGCGCAATCTCGTAAGGGAGGTCGTGCCCGCAGGCGGCGGAGAAGGCCCGCACCATGTCGAGCACCTGCCAAGAATAAAGAATGAAATCATCAATCATAAACCATGTCCAGCACCTGCCGCGCGGACGCCGAGTCAGAGCGCCACCAGTCCAACCGCCAGGACGAGATCGACAGCGCCTCGGCCACACGTCGCTCTCGGCCACACGTCGCTCTCGAGCACACCGCTCTCGCTCTACTGCCGCTGCTGCCGCTACTGCCGCCGCACCCGTGCTCCCGCGGTGCTATCCTCCGCGCTACGCCCGCTCGCCGAGTATCCGACGCCCGTGCCGAGGTTGTACGTGACGCAGCCGCTGCCCTGCTGCAGCCGGAGCAGGGCGGCGGTGTGCCCCTTGGCCAGGTCGACCTACGGGACGTGTCCAGGACACGTCGTGCGCACGCCCCGCCAGCCGCCAGGCGGTGCCTCGGCCGGGCGTACCACGTGGATGTAGTCCCGCACGCCAGTGCCGTCGGCCGTCGGGTAATCGTCACCGAAGACGGAGAGGCGCGGCCGCTTGCCGACGGCGACCTGGGGGCGGCGAGGGGCGGGCGGACCAGTGGGTGGAGAGGCTCGCTCTCGCTGTCGGCCTCTCGCCCCGCGTGCCGCAGGAGGGACGCCCGCAGGAGGGGCACCCCGGGTGCTGCTGGTACCCCGGGTGTTGCTGGTGCTGCCGGTGCTGCCGGTGCGTGGAGCTGATCTATCTCGTCCGACTTGCTGCAGGAAGGGCATCAGGTTGTTCGGGATGCCCTGCGGGTCCTCGCCTATTGGCCAGTCCCCCTCCTGGCCACCGCCTTTCGCCGGGTGGGTCGGGATGCCCCTGCGTGTGGCTCGCCGATGCGGCCGGACGGGTGGGCGCCGACGGGGTTGAAGTAGCGAAGCAAGGCGACGTTGAGCTGCGGCGGGCGGCGGAGAGCGTGGCGCGCGGCCGAGGTGCGGCGGGCGAGGTGCGGGCGAGGGTGGGGGTGGGGGTGGGGGTGAGGGCGAGGATGAGAGTGAGGGCGAGGGTGCACCTGCGGGTTGGCGGTGGAGACGTCGCGCAAGATCTGCTCGATGAAGAACTTTGAGAACCCGTACGGGTTGGTGCAGCGGCCGGCGGGGAAGGACTCGTCCACCGGGACCGAGGCAGGGTCGCCGTACACGGTGGCGGACGACGAGAAGACGAGGTCGGTGCAGCCCTGCTGAAGCATCGCCTGCACGAGGTTGAGCGTGCCCTGCACGTTGACCTGGTAGTAGAGCAGGGGCTCGGCCACTGACTCGCCGACCGCCTTGAGCCCGGCGAAGTGCACGACCGCCTACGCCCGTCCGCCCTCGTGACTGCCGCCTCTCCTCACCCGGGACAAGAAGCAGAGCCTCCGCCCGCCGTCGGCTTGTGCTGCGCAAAGACCGCACTCAGCGCGTCCGCGTCGCGCAGGTCGACCTCGTGGAAGGCGACGTCGCGGCCGGCCAGCTCCTGCACTCTCCGGAGGCACTCCAGGTTCGAGTTGCACAGGTTGTCCACCACAACAACCTAGACGCGAGTGCGCTGCTCGCCTCGGCGTTGCTGAGTGCAGGCGGGGGCTGGGTTATCCGCCGCCCCTCACGGCCTTGCGTGCACCCGCGTTTAGGAGGCTGGTGCATGCGGGTGGCAGGTGTGAATTCTCTCTGCGTGTGTGTGTGTGTGCGTGTGTCTTCTGTGCATCACCTCGTGGCCGGCCGACAGCAGCTCGAGCACGGTGTGGCTGCCGATGTAGCCGACGCCGCCGGTGACGAGCACGGTCTGTGGCACGGCCGGAGGCGGTATTCTTGAGCCGAGGGACGTTTGCAGCAGAAGTAGCAGCGGGCAGATGAGCCGAGGCATCAGAGCGCTGCCGGAAAGCAGCAATTCGTTCTGTACGAAAGAATTTCCCCCGCCACGTCCGACGGCCGACGGCCGACGGCACCGTCGGCCGTCGGCCGTCGGCAGACGGCAGACGGCAGACGGCAGACGGCATACGGCATACGGCAGACGGCATACGGCATACGGCCTACGGCCTACGGCCTACGGCTCGGTGCGTCGCCCATCTCTCCTGGAGATGTACTGCCCACTGCCCACTTTCCGTGAGGCGCCGAAAGCGAAACATCGCGCGCACTCCCCGTTCCACCCGCGACCTGGCGCCCTGTGCCCCGCTCTGCCGCTCTGCGCTCTGTCACCTGTGTGGCTCAGTCTGTACATAAATTGACGCAACTTTCGCACGAGGTATCCGAACACCTGGCCATGTTTTTCCCTCTCACACACACACACACACACACACACACACACACACACACACACACACACACACACACACCGCTCACCCACGCGCACCGGGCCTTTTGCACTTTGAATGCCGTGGGGCTCCTGTCGTTAGACGTGGAGACGCGAGGGTTGCCCCCCCTTGCCCCACCACCTCGTGTGTGTGGAGAAGTTTACCTTACCTTACCTTTTTCCCTCATTAGGGGTCCGTGACAGCACATAGACAGTAATATAAATAAGGTAGCGTTACGTCTCGGCGACTGCCTTGGCTGGCTGCGCGCATCAGCTCTGTCTTGTAAGAGTTACTATTTATGAAATCGTCGGCCCTTGCACCTACCTCTGTGACCGCGGTCGCTGGGGCATCCTTACTCAGCATTTTAGATTTCTTTTTACTGGAATCCCTGAGATGTACCATGTCCCGGCCGGAACGTCAGGCCTCCACGCCCACTACAAAGAGCACCGCCCAGTCCTGCGTGTTGCAACCGTCAAACGTAGGCATCTTGGCGCCGGGCTTGACTGGGAACTTGTCCTGCATCGCGGCCGCCGGCGCGCAGCTTCCGCCCGCGCTCGCAGTGTACACGCCCGTGCGGCAGGGAAGGTGCGTGACGTCGTAGAGCGAGCCCTTCGAGAGCTCCCACCGGCCGTCGTCGTGCACCGTCAGCACCGAAGTGACCTCGCGGTCCCCCGTCACCACGTACCGGCGGTAGGGCGCCGTCTGCTTCATGGTGGCGCCCTCGCGCTCGTACCGGGCGAGTGGCAGCGTGGAGGGGACCTCCATGATCAGGCCGTGCTCCTCCACATAGAAGCGCGACGGGTCCACGCGCCAGCCCGCCGGCGCGGTCCCGCCCTTGCTCGCCAGCTTCTTCTCGTAGTCGCGCAGGAAAACGCCCCGCGGACCCGGATCCTCCCGCCACAGTCCCCACTGCTCCGCACCAGTGCCCGACGAGGCGGCCGGGTCACCGAGCGCTGCGATAAACTGGATCGGGCTGAGCCGCTTGAACTTGGCCTTGCCGCCCGCGTCGTCAGCCGTCGCCGCAGTGATCTGCTTGCTGCCGGAGGCGGTCGCGATGAAGCCCGGAAGGCTGTATGCAAGCGCAGTGATGGCCACGCGGCGGCCAAGCCCAGGTGCAGGCTTCGGCAGATCGAGTGCAACGGCCGTGGCAGTAATCAGAAGGATGGACGCGCGCATGTCGGCAAAGAGCCGGCGCGACAGAGGTGACTGCCTCGAAGTGGCTGCTAAGTAAAAAGAAAACGCGAATCCCTGCTGCCGCGGCGCTCACTTTCCCCTCCCGACCAGGGTTCCGGCTCCTAGCCAGATAGGGGGTCTGTTGCCTATGACTCGCACCAAAACGCCCTACCTACCTACCTATTGCGGGCGCCAATCGCCAGGCTCCGTGCCCCACCTACCCACCTATCCCCAGGCCGCGCAGCGAAGCGAAAAAATGCCCGTTAGCCCTCTGTGAATAGGCTCCCAGCGCCCGCCGCGCGCCGGCTTGTACCGCGGTGCGCGCCGCTCGCGAGCCCGCCAGAGCATGGCCTACTGGGCTCTCGAGGCGTTGGACGGCTCCAAAACGGCACTCTCTTCCCTCGACAGAGTCTCCCGCGCAGCGAAGCCCGAAGCGGTTTTTACCCCCCCCCCCCCCCTCACCACCACCACCTACCTACCTATTGCGGGGCCCTCTGGGGCGGTCAAAACCGGACCTACCTACCTATTGCATGGGGTCTAACCGTAGGGGACAGACCCCCTATCTGGCTAGGAGCCGGAACCCAGAATCCATTGCCGCGGCCAGCGCCACGGTATGTTGTTCCGATCCGCTCTCTTTTACGCATCGCTCGCCTGCCTGCTCGCTCTCGCCGCCACTCTCGACAAGAAGGTCGTGCACGTGCCAGGCTTTCCAGAGAGCCCGCTGTTCTCGCACGCAGTCATCAGTGGAGGCACAATCTACGTCGCCGGCACCGTCGGCGTCAACATGACGTCTGTGCGGGACGGGAGGCCGACCCTGTGCGCGGGCGGCATCAAGGCCGAGACTGCATGCGCCTTTGCCATGATTGGCGAGGTCCTAAAGGCTGCGGGTCCAGGCACCACCCTCGACAACATTCTCGACTGTGAGTTTGCCCCGCTCTCTTCCAGCTGCCACGCAGTAGCGGTGCTGATCCCACCGCCACACGAGCTACACCACGCCAGCGCCGCGCCCACGGCACGTCCGCAGGCACAGTCTTCGTCGGAGACCTCGCGCGCGACTATGCGCCGCTCAATGAGGCGTACACCAAGATCTTTCCGAAGGACCCGCCGGCGAGGGCGGCCTTTGGAGCCAAGGGGCTCGCACTGAACGCAGCCGCCGAGTTCAAGTGCGTGGCGGCCCTCTGAGTACTGGTAGTCCCCTCTGCTCGCAAGGTATGAAGGTGTAAGCGGGCTTGAAGCATGCGTGTCGTGTTTCCGTACTCCAAGACCAAGTGCGTATTCCGGAACCCAGTCCCAAAACGAGAGGCTGCCCAGCAGTGTTTGCGTTTCCGGAAATTTCCCTAGGGAAACGAGCGGGAGCGCCAACAAAAATAAATACTCTCACAGTGATTTCTCTTGGCTATAGCCGCTTCGCTCCACAGCCGTCCCGCCACCCCTGCGCCCTGCCTGCCGTGTGCGATCCCGGCCTCACCGCGTCTTTCCAAGTTGCTCGTACACCCACGTGCGCGCTCTGAACGCATTCATCCGTACGTCCATCGGCGTTCCTTCGCAAGGATTCGCTGTAGGGTCGATTCCGCACATGATACGGGCGGGACGACGCGACGACCCCCCTACGTACGTACTTTAGACCAGCTGGGGAGACCAAAACCTGCCAGTCAACAGTCCACTTTCGGGCACGTACCTTTAGCTTCATGAAGGAAAAGGGAGAGGGGTGTGTGTTCTCTCTCTCTCTCAGGCAAGGTGAAGAGACAAATGGGGAGAACAGATCAGCCAATATCCTGGGGGGACGGGCTCAGTCAGCGTTTTCAGGCGGCATTCTCACTTTTGATGTCACGTACACCCACTCGTGCGCGCCCTCTGAGCGCATGCGGCCGTACGTTCAATTTCACCGCCCGCCGGACCGGATCTGGATCAATCTCAGGGATACATCCACGAAATCGGTTATAGGCATTAGGGGCGCTTCCGGGCCTCTCGCCGCGCCTGCTTTCGTGCTACGAGCATCCCGGGTTGTGCCGAATGTCGTCCTTGGGATCCCCTCCTCCCGAGCTGGGACTACTGGACGGGGCGGCAGAGCCCGAGGCGGCACCATCTGGCGGCAACGGCGCCTCTCTTCACGATCGCGTGCAGCACATCCTCAAGAGGCAGCGCCTCTCGCGCGTGGCCGAGTGCGTGCTCCCGCCTAAACTGGGTGGCCTGGGCCACGATACTTGAACCTCGCCCTGCGCACCACTGCCGCGCGCACACCGCAACACACGCGGCTCAAGACGCGCTTTGCTGCCTCCGCCGCCCTCTAATCCCTCCGACCCATCCTAGGGGCGCGCCCGATGCTGTCCTTGCCCGCCTGTGCGAAATCATTGAAGCGCAGCAACAAGAGATCGCGATGCTGCGCGGCCCGCACGATGCAAATGCGAGCATCGCGTTGAACTACCCTGCCTCGCTCGCCGCGCCGCCCGTCCCCTCCCCTCCCTCTGCAAGCGGTGACGCGCCTACTGCAGCTGCGCCCGTGGCTTCCGACTGCAGTGCGGCCGCCGGCGGGGAGTCGGTCGAAAAGGGCGAGGCGGGTCTCGCTTCAGGCCTCGAGGTGCGTCCCGCACGACCCTAGACCGCCCGTGTGTTGCATCCGTATCTACTCTGACTGTCGGCGGAATCCCCCCCCCCCTTATGAGCTGCGACCTGCCATGCAATGCGTGCTCCCCGTCCCTCACCCGGCTGGCGCATACCGCTGCAGACCCTCACCGCAGCCGCAGCCGACGCGAGCCGCGTGACCGACTCCAACCGCCCCTCCTCGAGCGGATCCTCCCGCAGCGGGTCTCCGCCGTCCTCTTGGCCGCAGCAGGCGCGAGGCCCCGCATGCGCCAGCCGCCCAGCGCCCCAATTGCCTGTATTTTTATACCTGAGCTCCCCTCCGACCCTCCCGTCGCGCAGCAGCAGGATCAACAGCCGCAGCCGCCGCCGCAGGACCAGCAGCCATTGCAGCCGCCGCCCCCGCTGCTGCTGCAGCAGCAGCAAATGCAAGCGCAAATGCAACAGCAGCAAGGGGTGAGCACCAGCACCGCAGCCGCACCCATCTTGAGGATGGCATGCAGTGCCAGCACGCGAGTCGCAGGCTCCCCTCACCTTCTGGGCGCACCTCTTGCCTCGGCAGGTTCGCGCATGCCTCTCGTGTGGCACGACCGAGACGCCAAAGTGGCGGTGCCAGCTCCAACCTCGCCTGTTTGCCCTCGCCCCCGGCCCCGAGCCCCAGCCTTAGCTTGCCCCCTCCCCGGCAGATGTGGCATGACGTTGTGCAACGCGTGCGGCCTGCGGCAGGCAAAGACGACGGGCGCACCGCGGCGGTTTTCGCACGCCGAGACCATCGCCCACGCAGGCGAGGAGGACGCGGCACGCGAGGCGGCGGCGGAGGCCGGGGCCGGTGCTGGGGCGCACCTGCAGTCGCGCTCGCCAGCGGCGAGGCGGTCGCGACAGCCGTTCCAGCGTGCCACGCTGACGCGCGAGCAGGCCCACGCGCGAATTTCGCCTGTCCGCCTCCTCACCCTCTCCCTCTCCCTCTCCCCGCTCTCCTCTCTTTTGCTCTCTCCCCCTCTATCATCGCCGATCAAATTTTCGCCGATCAACGCGCCTCCCTGCCCCTCTCCGTTCCTCACCCCTCCCACCCGCCATCTCGAACGCCTTCCCTCCCACAACAGGCGCTGCAGCAGTGGGGCGGCGCCATGATAGGAGCCTACTTGCCGCACACGCCCAGCGCGCCAAACTACCCCATGATGCCCAACCCCATGATGCCGATGATGCCTGGCATGACTCCGTTTCCCCCGATGGGCGCCTTCCCGTACCTGCCGTACCAGCCCGGCATGCAGCCCAGCATGCAGCCCGGCATGCAGCTTGCGCCGCCCCCCGGCTTCGCCGGAGCACCGCCGATGCAGCTGGGCGCGATGGGGCCTGCAGGCGTGATGCAAAGGCAGGCGCTGCCGCCGGCGGGCGCGATGGGACCAGCTGTCGCGATGCAAGGACCGCCGCCGCCGCTGGCGGCAATGGGGCTAGCGCCGGCACCGGCAGCGACGCCTCTTGCGACGCCAGCGCCGCCGCCCACACCGGCGGCAGCGCTCGATCTGGCCTGCCCGGAGGCGACGGCGGCGCGGGTGGAGGTGCCTGGCTTCTCTGGGGGTGCGGGTCCACTGCCTGAGCCCGCGGACTGTGCTTCCCCTATCGTACTGGTCTAAGGAGGGCGCGGAGCAGAGGCCAGAGCCATGAGGTTCCATGGCACATGCACATAGGCCTCAGTGCCTCTCTCCGGAGGTCTCAAATGGTGGTGTACGGGCAGTTTCTGTCACGAAGTGAGTTGGATTCGATTTCGGGCAGCGATTCTAAAAATTCTGCTAGTTGTTCTTTTCTCCTCGTCTCGTCTCCATTCAAGCAATAAACTCATAACGTCACGGACAGAAGCGAACGCGGAGGACCGGCGCGGGTCCGCGGCCGCTCATGGCGCTCTGCCGCATCGGCCGCACGAACCCGCGCGTGGGGCGGGCGGCGACGCCACCGGGACCCTGCGCCGCGACACCCTTTTCCGGATTTCACGCTCACGAGACAATCCGATCACGGCGCTCAGGGCCGACCACCTCGACGTCCGCGCAATTCTGCCAGACCTGCGCCGTCTCCTCGCAATCCATCCGCCAGCCTAGCACGTACTTTCCCGGCCGCAAGCTCGACGGGACCACCACCCGGTCCGCCACCATGCCGAGCGTCCAATCGCCGGAGCAATACCCCCAATGGTCGTCGTTGCCGCCCGTCGCGCAGCCGCCCTCGCCCGGGTGAGCGTCGCAATCGAACCAGCCGCGGTCCACGTCGGGGCACGGCGAGGGAAACTGCTGGCAATCACCTGCAAACAATCACGCGTCGCTCGTGCAATCGTGTGCCACGTCGGGTCGCGGCGGGCGGGGAGCTGAGTTGCCCTTGGCGGCGCTCCACGGCCCCCGGCGGGGAGGGCCGAGCGTGCACTCGCCCTCGCGCGCCAAGCCTCGGTTGTCGGTGTTGATGCGTGGCACCTGTAGACAGCCGTACGCTATGGTAATCACGTCACGCCATAGGCCTGTCCGAGGGTCGGCCTGCAGCACCGGGTTGCGTGCCCACGTCGAGCCCTCCGGCCGCACCTACTCGGGGGTTCCACCACCCGACCCTGAGCGTCTCTTGCTGCGAGGCGCAGAGGCGACCCCTCCCGCCACCGCACCGCGGAGCCACTGACAAAGCTTCCGCGGATGGGCCGGCGGGTGCCGTTGTTCCAGAGGATGGCCTGCGCGCTTCTCACAAAGTCGAGCGGCGTGCGCTGGAAGCACTCCTGCGTGTGTGTGAGGGGGGGGGGGGGGTATACACGCGCCTCGGGCTCAGAGGTCTCACGGGTGGCAGCGCTCTCTGAAGGCGCTCCTCAGTCAGCGCGGCGTCGGCGGGGCAGAGGCGGTATTGGTACCCGCCGCCTATCGCATCCGATCTGAACTCGTCTCCCTCGGCCGCATCTCGGCCGCGTCTCGGCTGCGTCTCGGCTGGGTCTCTCGCCGTGGTTGAACCGCATCCCCCACGCCACCGCCGCCTCGGAGCCTGCTGCCCAGCGAGGGAGCGGGCCGCGCGTCGGCGGCAGCACCTGGAGCCGAGGCCCTCACCGATGAGTACACGTGACCCAGCGACTGACTATGAGTTGAGTGTGCACCTCGGAGCCGAGGTCGCCCATCCTCGAAAAGTTGGTCGCGAAGAAGACGCTGTCGCCTACGCCGCGCGAGCACCGGCTCACCACCGCCCTCTCGCACCCTCGCACCCTCGCGGCTAAGGCGCGGCCCGCCCCCCACCGGCGTCTGCTCGTACTTGCCGCCCGCCTGTCCGCACGGGTCGACCACGGGAGCGGTGCCGGGCGCCCGCCACGGGTTGAAGCGGTACGAGTCGTTGACGGCGCCTGAGGTGCACAGAGTCGGGTCGTCTCGGGCGCCTCGACGGGTCGAGGCGGCGGCGATCCTCTGCGCCCTCGATCGCAGCCACGTTCATCGTCCAGTACTCGCGCGGCAGAACGGGCGTGCCTGGGGAGAGGGGCGCTCTCGGTTGGTCGGTCGGTGGGGTGGGGTGAGGCCCGCGTCGAGAGGGTGCATGATGAGCTGCCGCCGGTGTGCTCTACTGCTGGCTCTACTGGCTCTGCTGCCGGTGTGCTCTACTGCTGGCACTACTGCTGGCGCTACTGCTGGTGTGCACACTGGCGATGCCTGGCTCGTCGCAGTACGCTGTCCGGAAGCCAGCCTTGTCCGCGTGAGGCCAGCCGCCTGAAGAGGATTCCCGCGTCACAGCCTGTCCGCGGACGTGTACGTGTACGCCACCGGTGCCGCATGTAGCCAAAACCTTGGATCGGCTGCGTTGGGATCCGGCCGCGGTTGCGCGGGTGGCGGGGGTCGGTTGCGCAGTACTCGCAACCGATGGAGCAGCCTTGCGACCACCAGAGGCACGGCTGGCCGCGGCCGCCGTCAGCCCGCACACCCATCTCACACGGCTTGCTGCGGCGGGAGGGGACAGGGGTCAGCGAGCAACGGTGGCAGGGCAGGGCAGGGGGTCGTCGCCAACGTTCACCTATTGGCGCATGTGCAGGCAGTCGTAGGAGACCGTCCACCACGAAAGTTTTCGAGGACGCCGTCCATTGCGTTGCGAGGCGTCGGGATCACGAGATTCATGTGGCCGAGGCCCAGCAGAGTGACGTGGAGAGGCATCGTGTAGATTGATACGATTATGGCGCGGCGGGGTCGGGCACTGAAAGAATTTAGAGCCCCGTAGGCCCACACAAACACAGGACCCCCTCTGAAAGAAAACCCGGTCCTCGCGGCTCCGAGATCGCCCGAGATAGCGCGAGATCGCCCGAGATTGCGTGGCACGGCCGAGATCGCGCACCTCGGCATATCTCGGGCTCGGCGAGGTGGATGGGTTGGGAGCAGCCTGCGAGAGGTAGTGGTATCGGACACGGCTCCGGGCTCTGATGGTGGGGGAGGGAGAGAGAGAGAGAGAGATTTTCAACACCAAACAAATAACCCCCTGGAGACTGAAGTTTATGCCGTCGTTTAAAGTACGTGTTTGGGGGGGGGGGGGGGAGGGAGCCCCTGCAGACTGATCTTTGGTGGTTAAAGTTGGGACTCGGACATGTCGGCTGCTGCCGCTCTCGCCTCGCTGGCGGCGCGGTCTAGTGCCGCGACTCCCAGCTCTCCTGTGGGCCCGCGGCGGCTCGCCGCCGCGGTTCTGAACAATGTTAGCGGTCCGGGTTCGTCCCGGCGTACCGCCGGTGCCGCTTCTTCGCCGAAATTTTCCTCAACCTGTTAGTCGACAAAGTTGTGCCCGAGCTCCTGCTGCTCGTTTGGGCGGGCGGAACCGGGTCCTCGCGGCCGAGATGCGGTGCGCCGACACCTCGAGCCGACACCGGGGCTTCGGCGCGGGGCAATTTCCGGGCCGTCTCGAGCAACTTCGAAATCGACCGATTTTGTGACCTCAACATCCTGCTGCTCTTTGACCTCAGCCTCGCTGCCCTCTGCGCGGCTGACCTAACCTGTGCTGCTGTGTCGCAGGAGATTGTGGAGAATGACCTCCAGACTGACCCGGAGAATCACCTCCACCCAGCCCCACCTCATCCTCGCCCGCCCGCCATCGCCCTCGCCTTTCACCTCCCGCCGCCTTTCGCCGACCACCACGCCAGCTTGCCCGCCGCCCTGTCGTCTCGCCTGTCGCCTGCCCGCCCTCGCCGTTGGTGCCACGACGTCCTCGGCTACTAGCTCTAAGGTCACCATGTCCTCTCCGGCTACGACAAATTGAACGTGATCTGTACATGGGCGGCGTCCTCCTCCTCAAGTCCCTTTGCGACCGCGCCAGCGACCCACCGCCGACTGGGTGGGCCAGCCGCGCGAGATATAAATGCGTAATGTCGACGGTGGCCTTGAGCTGCTAGTGGCGCCAGGGGTCTGACCCAAAGGTCGCGCCCCCCTCGTGGCGCGGTCGGGCTTTCCACCCTCGTGGGAAGCCTACCTTTGCCCCTAGCAATGCTGCGAGACCGGAATTTCGGCAGAAGCCCTACACGGGGACATGCTGAGGGACGTCGTCGCGGCCCAGCTCCATCCTGGGTGGGGCGGGCGGGCGCGTACGAGACGCGCCACCATCGTGGCAGTGACACGTGCGCGTCGAGGAGCGCGGAACCCGTAACGACCAGACGTCGGTCGGCTACCCGACATAGACAGGCTTGTCCATCGGTCGGATGCTTGAGACATGGTTAGAGCTAGCTCCCGGGAAAGCCGGGCCCACATAAGTAGGAAGTGGTTTCCCAACGTGTGGGGGCCTGGGGGCAGTGTGCGCAACACCATGGGCCACCACTGTGGAACATGTACATGTGCATGTGCATGTGCATGCACATGCACATGTGCATGTGCGTGCCAGTCTGTTCCACCATCGTGGCGCGGGCCTGCTAGATGTGCATACGCCCTTGTCTCGGGGTTACAGTCGGTGTGCGACCGTCGGTGTGTGTCGCGGCAAGTATGTATCTGACGCTCTCGGTGATAGGAGGGATGGTCCCACCCGGAACCCAGCACGCGGGCCGTCAGACGAGAGGCGGAACGGGTGGCCGAGATCAGGGGCAACATAGACCCGGCGGAGGCTAGGTCGACTGTGACCCGCGAAATCATAGCAGGCTGCGCCGACGCCGCCATGGCAATATGGGAGACCGTCAGCCAGTGGCGCACCGCAAACGGACAATCGGCATGGACCGGGGGCGTGGCGGGCGACGACGAGCGCGAGGAGCAGGGGGGCGGGAGGTCTCCGACTACGAGCTGGAGGGCGAGGAGGATGACCAGCCCGACGAGATGACCGTCGACACCGGTGACGGCGGGCCACCCGACGCGGCGGATGGCGGGCCGCCCGATGGGGAGGATGGAAGCGACGACGAGAGCGATGGCCGGGATGTCTCGGGCGACGGGGGGGGGGGAGGTCCCGCTCGTCGCCCGGGAGGGTAGAAGGCCGCGGGCAGCGGCGATCTGAGCGCAACGGACAGCGAAGACCTCGCAGGGGGGGGGGAACGGCCCCCCTCGGGCGTCGATAGGGGCAACGACCCCCCGTCGCGCCCCGGAGACTGCGCTTTATGGGTGTGTAAAGTACGTCGGGGGGGGGGGCAGCTTTGGGGTCGACTGCCCTCTGTTCACGCGCGCGCGAGACAAAATACCAAACAACGTAACACTCACACATCATTTGGGGCCTGGAGCCCCTGCAGACTGAAGTTTAAGGTCGTTTCAAGTTTTTTTGGGGGGGGGGGGGACAGATTTGGGCGGTCAGACAGGGTTGCCAGGTGAGAGCGAATGGCGCGGTTCACGCCTCGCACAACAGAGAGAGAGATGCTCTCTGCATGGTGGGACATAAAAGAGAGCGAGTACTTGGGCGAGTAGGCCGTGCGGTCAACGCTGCCGCGCGCGACTTTGCGCGCGAGGCGGCGCAGCTTGAGAACGGCGGTGGGCGAGAAGCCGCCGCCGAACGTCTCGTGGAGCAGCAGGTTGAAGTTGTTGCGCTTGACAAAGATCGCGTCGTGGTAGAAACCGCGATGCGCCTTGACGTAGCCGTGGCCGGTCTTGTGGGAGAAGGGTTGGCCGGGCTGCCCACGCGCCTTGCAGCCCATGTTTAGGCGGCGGGCCTTCTCTTCGGTGTTGCCAAAGGCGTAGGAGTGGCCAACGGAGGGGGGCGTGCCGCCACTCGAGGCGTTGCCAACGCCCGGCGAGGAGGTCTTGAGGAGGGGCGTCCAGAGCTTGATTTCATTCACGTCATCGCACCCTCCCGGCCCCGCGTGGGGTTCTGCGAGGTCAGTCTTGTACCCCTCGTTGTACTGCCGGGTGAGCTCTGGCTAGATTTGTGTTTTGTTAGATCGGTCAGTCGGGGCGCGTGAGCCGGACTTGTGAGATGGACGGCTTTCATTCATTTCTCTCTGCATTCTTGCAGAATGGGGAGTGCAAGATACTCGTTCTGTTGCCGTCCCGAACTGTGCCAAACAGCAACTGACTGTGGCCACTGACTGCCACTGACTCCCCTTTCTCCCGGCCGGGGCGGTGCGCGCGCGGGGACGGCGAGTGGGCGGGATGTCTGTGTTTGTGTGTGTGTGGGCCCGAGCGAGAGCAAGATAGATGATTGATGAATGATTGATGGTGTTTCCGCTTGCGTTTCTGTGCGCGCGGGCCTTCTAGGCCCGCGGGTAGTCTCAGGGCTCGCACCTCAACCTCTCACAGACCAGCGCACAGCGCCATAGGACGTATTTCCTTCTCAAAACAAGAAATAAAGAAAACCTGCGCGGGAGCACTTGGAGTGCTGCTCGAGCCGCTGCTGAGGCTGCTGATCGCACCAGAAAAATGGCGTCGATCAACACAGCCGCCCGCTTGTCGCGTCTCCCGGCTGCCCGCTTCGTTTCCAGGGCGCCTCTTACGCTCTCGGCTCCACGGGCTCGCTGGTTGTCCACGGCGCCGCAGCCTGCGCCTGCGCTGGAGCCGGCGCCGCCGTCCGACTTCCTCGCCAAAATGGGAGAGCGCTGCTCCCGGGAAGCGCTTTACCCGCCGGCGCTGGAGCAGCACCGGCGGGAAGCGAGCGGCTCCAAGGCCGCCGACAACACGGGCGCAATCACGATCGAGCTGCGCGGCCGCGTGGCTGTCTGGACCCTGAACCAGCCCGAGAAGCTCAATCCGCTCAACGTTACGACCCTCAGCAGGTTGACGCAACTGTTTGCTGAGGCTGCGTCAAGCCCCGCCGTGGACGCCGTCGTGCTCACCGGCAGCGGCCGGTACCTGTCCAGCGGGGCCGCATTCTTCGATGTCGGGGTGGACAAGGTCAACTGGCCCTCTGTCCTCCACTCGCAGGTTGCTCGCCTGAACGTCGGCATCTTCCACCCGTTCATCCACTTTCCCAAGCCGCTCTTCATCGCCGCCAACGGCCCCGCCGTCGGCGGCGGTACGACGATGCAGCTCCTGTGCGATGCCGTGTTGGCCGCCCCGGGCGCCACGTTCCACACGCCGTTCAAGAAGCTTGGCATCACAAAGGAGGGCTGCTCGACCCTCACGTTTGCTCAAAAGATGGGCAGCGAGGGCGCGCGCCGCATGCTTGACGAGGGCGAGAAGCTGAGCGCCGCCGAGGCGGCGAGGCTGGGCTTTGTGGATGTGCTGGTGGAGGAGGGCTCTGACCTTGTGGCGGCCGCGTGCGAGTTTGCGGAGGGGTGGGTGTCGGAGGGGAGGGGGCGGCGCATCCTCGAGCACAACACGCTCGACGAGCTCGACGAGGTGAATGAGCAGGAGGGGCAGCAGCTCGCCTCCGCCATCTTTTCAAAGGCGTTTTGGGCGGCAACCCTTCGAAAGGCGGCGGGGCTGAAATGAGTGCCCCCCCCCCCCTTTGTTGACCGAGAGCGCCCTGTGGGCGGTGGGCGTATTCTGTATCCGTGCCAGCACGTGAAAAAAAAAAAGGGACGGGTAGGAAGGCGGGAGAAGCCATCAAAGCTGCATCAAAGCCGAGCCACGACTGAGAGAGGATGCAGACATGCAGTTCGTGCAGCGGAAAAAGCCGGCCCTCCGTTACGCGATTGCCGTCGCGACGCCATGCGCGACGCGCAGCATGATCGCACAAAACCACGCCCAACGGCGGGCCGTGCTGGCGAGCATCATCTCCGCTGCCGACGACGAACCAACTATGCTAAAAATCTCTCTCTCGACGAACCCGAGATGGTCCATATTCGGCTCTGTCCTCTGAGGGCGGGGGCGCAGGTAGAGGTAGGGCTGGCGTGGGGGGCCTCAGGTAAAGGTAGGGCTGGCGTGGGGGGCCTCAGGTAAAGGTAAACCTGTCTCAGACCGCCGGAGTAGAGGTAAACGGAAACCACGTGAGGCCAGGTAAACGTACGCCCGTGAACGTAACCCGCCGAGGGCTCTGTCCTCTGAGGCGGGACGACCAAGGCCCCCGCGAGAGCGCTTCGCCTTGCGGCGCGCCTGCCCGGCCATGGACCAGGCTTCACCGCCGCTTGCCGACGGCTGATCGCATCACCTACCGCATCGCGAATGGCCAGTGCCGCGACCACTTGACCTTGCTGCCTGCCTGCTAACCCGCGCGGTGCAAAGAATCTGCGTCTCTCGGCGCATTGATTGTGCATGATTGCTCGAGTGGCTCGAATTGGCAATCCACCGCAATACGAACATGACTGGAGAACATATGCAACACGGACGCAGGCTTGCCGTTGGCGACGTCGGTTATCAGAGGGGTCAGGTCATAGTGACGCGCTCGATGGGATGCTGCATTGACGCAGACAGCAAAAGTATCGCAGCGGAGACCTTCTCATGAGTGGCGGCTCGCACCATGCGGCAGTGCGGACACCAGGTGCGCGAATTTAAGAGCCATTTTCGATTCCGTGGTTTTGGCACTGTCTACCAACTTTATGGTACAAATCGACTTGGATCTTGGTCTGGGCACAGCTGAGCCCTGCGCTGAGGTTTGCCTCCATTCTGAAGGTGTACGTAGAAGGGAAGGCAGCATGCCAGGTTTGCGAACTCCGCTGTGCGCCGAAAAGCGGTATGGCGCCGAGGAGAAGCCATTTTCTTATTAGAAAAGGCTCTCGACATCCAAAATTTTCTTCGTCCTTGCGCGCCCAACCATGGTGCATGGATGGCGGGCACATCTCAGAAACACTCGTGCGGCTGCGCATTGTTTGTATTTTCTCTTCTCTACGAGCCGGCGAGTGGAAATCGCAGATAGCTGCATCGAGATCACATATTATCGAGATCACTCGAGACACGAGAGATATCAGTTATCACTCCGCTCGAGACACGAGAGATCACGCAAAGGTAAATCATGGTCCTACGTCGCTCAGAGGTAGAGGTAAAGGGCCCACGGCTGCCCAGAGGTAAAGGTAAGAGGGCCGCAGGCCCTCAGAGGTAGAGGTAACCTAGACCCCTCCTACCCGGCCCTCAGGGCCGACCATATATCTCCAGCGGCGATATTTCGCGTTTTTTGGGAGGTGGAAGCTCGCCGGTGCTCGGCGAGCCGCTGTCTGAAATGGGCACGCTGCCGCACGGCAAGAAAGAAAGAAAGAAAACAGACAAACACGAATTCTTCACTTCGCCATGTGTGTATGTCGGGTGCTGTGCATCGCCATGCCGATGTTGTGTCGGGTAGTGCTGTGCATCGCCTTCGCGTCGCTCGCATCCGCGCGCAACTTCGACCCGCATCCGCGGCGCCCGTTTGAGCCGCTCGCGCGACAGTCGGCGCTCCGCCTGCTGCGCCAGCTCACCACCGAAGGCTGCAAGGACCTCGTGTCAGTCGACATCGGAGGTTCGCTGCTGCCTGCCACTGCCGAGCCGCGCTCCACGCCAGCGCCGCCAGGGTGGCAAGCGCTCCTCGCACAGACGCCGCGTGTCCGCCACACCACGCGCCGCCGTGCGTCCGGCCGGCCGCACTCGCCGCTTCGCACCACGATTCTGTGCTGATGATTCAAGCACGCAGCTGCTGCTCTCGCGCCATAGGCACCTTGGCCAAGATCGTGGTATTCCAGCCGCGCGATGAGGCGCAGGGCGCGTCGGAGCCGCTCATCGCCGAGGCAGCGCGAGCTCTGCGTGGTTGTGCGACGAGTGTACCTTCCCGGAACCTTCTCATGACCTTTCTCTCCAGGCGCAGCGCGAGCTGTCCATCTACGTGCCCGCGCTCGGGGGCGACCTCTACTTCTTCACGTTTGAGGCGGGGCGAGATACCGCCGAGATGCCGCGATGTGTGGCGGAGATGTGCGATAAGAGGTTACCTCCGAACCCTCAGGGCTGCGCACTGTGCTCTCTTTCGTCTCTCTGCCCCTGCCGCCTCTCTTCTCTCTCCCCCGCACCACCTCTCCCTCATCCCCAGCCCTCGCCCTCGCCCTCTGAGCCTCGCCCTCCTTCCCCACCCTCACACTCTCGCCCACCCCCACCCCACCCCCACCCCCACGCTCAGACCCGCTACATGGACGACATCATCGAGCTCATCCACCAGAACCTGCCAGCCATGTGACCGCCACGCCGGATACATTCTCATATCATAGAACCTGCCAGCCATGTGACCGCCACGCCGCCACGCCGCACACCGCCACCCGCCACGGCGCACGCCGCACACCGCACGCCGCCACGCCGCCCGCCGCACGCCTCCCTTCCGGCACGGCTCCGAGTCACACGCCTGTTGCACGTACCAGACCCCTCCCCCTCCCGCCGCCTCCCCCCGCCTCCCGCTCCCTCCCGCCGCCACTCCCGCCCCCTCCCGCCAGGTGCTCCGCCGAGGGGCGCGGCCCCTCCCCGATAGTCATGCGCGCGACGGGCGGCGGCGCGTACAAGCACGCCGAGGCGCTCGGCCGCGCAGGCGGGACCCCGCACGAGAGGACTGGCTCGCGCGAGACGGAGCTGACCGACACACTCTGTCTGGGAGAGGAGCTCGGCTGCACCTCGGCTGCACCTCGGCTGCACCTCGGCTGCACCTCGGCTGCACCTCGGCTGCACCTCGGCTGCACCTCGGCTGCACCTCGGCTGCACCTCGGCTGCACCTCGGCTGCACCTCCGGCTGCACCTCCGGCTGCCAGGCGTGCAGCTCGACGTCGGCGAGGAGATGAGCTGCATAGTGACGGGGCTCCACTTCCTGCTGCGCAACGCCCACCGAGGCGGCTGCACGAGCGGCGAGGTCTACACGCTGCCGCAGGTCGCAAACTCTCCGATGGCGACCTCCGAGGCGTACCAGATGACGGCTCGCCTCCTCGCGCCCTCCGACACACGACCGGACGGAGCGGCCTGAAGAGTGAGATGCGGTGGACGAAGGCGCGCCACTTTGTCACCCTCGACACGCCGCCGAGCGACTACCTGTATGTCTCCATCGGCTCGGGCGTCTCCATCCTCGAGGTGCGGCAGGAGGGCGGAGGAGGCGGAGGAGGAGGCGGCGGAGGAGACGGCGGAGGAGGTAGCAGCACCTACCGCCGCATGGGCGGCTCATCGCTCGGCGGCTCCACCTTTTGGGGCCTGGTGCGGCTGCTGACCTCGTGCGCCACTTTCGACGAGGTGCGGCCGAGAGACGCGAGACGAGAGGCGCGGCGCGACGCGGCAGTGTGTCACCCCCTCGCACGACGAGGCTGCGCCGTCGTGCCGCAGGTGATTCGCCTCACGCAGAGCGGCGCGTCGGCCAACATCGACATGCTCGTCGGCGACATCTACGGAGGCGACTGCCCGTCGCTCGGCCTCCGCGGGGACGTCATCGCCGCCTCCTTCGGCAAGGCGGCGGAGACACGCAGAGAGACGCAGAGAGACGGAGCGAGAGAGAGGGAGCGAGAAGCGCAGCGAGAAGTGCAGCGGTGCGGCCGCACTTTCGGACTGCGACCGCCGCCCCGGCAGGTGACGATGCGGCGCGAGGTGAAGCGGTCGCGCGGGCTGATGTTCCTCGTGCGCTACCTGCGCGCGCTGCTGCGGCACTACGAGGAGGGCTTCTGGCTGGTGGTGCTAGCTGTCGTCAACTCGGTGCCTCTGCTCCGGCTGGCGGCGCAGCGGGTGGGCCTCGTCCGGCTGGCGGAGTCGCGCGCCGCGTCGATGGCGATGTGCGGCACTCTCCTCGTGGCAACCGCCGAGACACTTCCCGACACAGCTCCCGACACAGTTCAGAGACACACTTCAGAGACAGTTCAGAGACACTGCCCAGGGACGCTGCTTGGCGCGAGAGGCCCACCTCTATGCGAGGGGCTCCTTGCGCGACACTTCCGAGACCCTTCCGAGACTCTGGACACTCGACTCGCAGGTGCGGCTCCTTCCGAGCGCACGACGTCGCGCTCTCGCTGCTGCGGATGGTGTCCAACAACATCGGCCACGTGTCCACCCTCTCGGCGCAGCAGGCGGGGCTGCGACACATCGTCTTCGGAGGCGCCCTCGAGCCTCGCAAGCCCCTCCTCCGGCTCCGCCGCCGCTCACGTCGCCCTCCACCGCCGCCTCCTCCGCGACCGCCTCCTCCTCCACACCCGCCTCTCCCCCGCCCCACTCCCGCCCCCGCAGGCTCCTTCATCCGCGACCACCCCTTCACCATCGCGACCATCTCCTCCGCCGTCCGCTTCTACTCTGGCGGCCGCGTGCAGCCCCTCTTTCTGAAGCACGACGGCTTCGTCGGCGCCATCGGCGCGCAGCTGCGAGGCTCTGCGCTCGCCGGCTCGCACACGCGAGTGCAGCCGACCCAGCCGACCCAGCCGACAGGGAGCGAGCCGGCTGCCGCGGTCGCTGCGGACGAGACGCCGATCGCCTTGCCTGCGACGGTGGGGGTGCCGGAGGCGCCACCGGCGATGTCGGGAGCCGCGGCGCCTCCCGCGCCGCGAGTCGCTGCGCCGCCGCTCGCGCGCAGTGCGGCCGCCGCCGGAAGGACTGAGGCGTGAGGGGGGTAGCCACTCTACACTTGTGACGTGCAAGAATCGAGAGTTCGAGAGAGTTGTGCTTATTGAGAGAGAGACGAACTCTCCTCTCTCCGAGACACACTGAGAGAGAGAGCATGAAAACCATGGGGCCCATGGCCATGCGCGATAAAATATAACCAAGCATTTTAAATAATGCGCACGAAAAAACACCACCAAAAATGCAAAAACCAAAAAATCCCTCGGGTCGGCGCTCGGGCGACGGGCGTCGGCGGGGGGACCGGGGCCCGGGGGACACGCGGGGCCCGCGATGGGCCCCCGTGTCGTGTATCGGGCTGTCGGCCCGGGCGGCCGCGGGGGGGCGGCGCCGCCGGCCCGCCGCCGGGTCTCGCTCCGCGGGGTCCGTCGGCGCGTCCTGCCCGCGCGCGCGCGCGCGCGCCGCGCGAGCGCGACGGCCGCGCGTGTGCCCGCGCGTCGCCGGAGCGGCGCGCACACAATGTGTGGCACACTGCTCGGTACCCCCCCTGCACATCTAAAGCCATCTCCCTGCTGCTAGGGGGGGGGGGGTCTGACCCCCCAAGCAGCAGCGCTCTGCTGCTGGGGGGGCGTCCCGGGGTCCCGACCCCCCCAGCAACAAAGCGCTGCTGCTGGGGGGGGGGGGGGGGGGGGCCCCC